ATAGTCCTCTTTTCATGAAGTCATCACGCGGGGTTTCAGCGTTGTTTGGTGTTTAAGCGCAAACCTTAAATGATGTAGACGGATTATTTGCTGCGTGCCTATGTCTGACAGTTGTTATCGACGAGTTGGATGAATTTGGGCATAGTTCACGCTTTTGGTAGCTCCACAAAGTATAGGTAAAACTACATGTTTAGCTTGGTATGTCATGGACAATAAATTGGGCTGTGCACGCATACAGTCTCCATTGCCGTGATGCCTCGGCTTAGGCCACAGCGTGTCACATTTCGGCCGGTTCTCGAAACGATGATATTGGCTTGCCTCCTGGTCCACTGCTAGCCGCAGTTGAGGATCACATTGGATGGAAGTCGTTTAATGATTTGCAGACGACGCGTTTGCCTTCAACGCACAGGTGGTCCCATGCTTATAACTGTTCTGATTCTTGAAGTTTGACACGGATCCTATGAATCGCCCGAAAACGGGCTGACCCATGGTCGGCGCCCGGCTGGGGGCGGCGGACTGAATTGATTGACCCACACTTTGGACAGGGCAATAATTCGAATCCACCTCCACTATCTCGTTTCGCTGCGCCACCTAGTCGTCAAGATCTGTACCTGTTTCATGCTTTCCAGCTTTTCATGATCTGAATATTTTTTGTTTCTCAAATTTAAGTCGGTACCTTAAACCTAAGTCTTAAGGGTACCCACAGCAATCAACATCTTAGACATGTATGCGACGCTCAAATATGTCGAGGTAAAACAAATTGAATATGTTTGCTTAACATATACAAACGCCCTGAAAGTGTGTGCGTGGTGTGACAAAGTAGAGCTCTGCCAGCCACCGCCCGACAGGTTCCATTTGGGTCGTTTCACATACGAGCTGTGGCCAGCGTTTGACGCCACGGTGAGGCATTCACCGCAGAGCTTAGCGCGGCATGGCAGTGTTTGCCCCACCATTTTTCTCCGTGAGAGTTCGTGCCGGTCGATTCGGTGCCCCTGCTGGCGCGGCCCGGTCTGGGGACGGAGGGGGGCGGCGCCGCGCCGGTCGGCCGCCACCCGCAGCGGTCCACGGAGGCCGGCTGGACTCTCGCCTAGTGCAGCGTCCGCTGATAGTGACGTGGTACTAGGACCGTCGGAGACATATGCGCCCCTCCCCGTCTCGCTGGCCCCGGAAACACATATATCATGACCACACGGACCCTGGTTTGGGTCAAGGACGAAACCACATGTTCACGATTGTTGACGGCCCAATATGCTTTGATGTTTCTTTTGATGAGCTGGACCAAACAGTTACAGGAGGGCCAGACCCACGACCTCAGTGTTTGTATACACTCCGTTTGGACGGTTGCAGTAAGATGCCATGCTGTTTGATATTCCCTGCTGCGATGGCCCGTGGCTGATCTCGTAACCTTGGTGGTCGCTCCCTTCGGGGGACCCAAGGGACAGCCCCAAGCAGCTTGGGCTGAGTTTGAGCAGCTTGGCAGCTGGAATCCGCAGCCCAAGCGATCCCTCAGTCACAATCTAGCCGGAGGGTCTCGGCCAGACGTGCTTTGTTAACACTAGTGAGCCGAGGTTTTGTTATTACTACCACACCGCATCACTACGAGTGCAACCTGTCTTTCTGATCTTGACGGTACCGTCCCAGCATCGGTTTCTTTCACATGCCTGTTGCCACGTGAGGGGAAGGTGCGGGACATTCAGTCCCCCTCAACTCTGCAGCAGATCGGTCCAACAAGCTCGTCAAGACTGAAACATGGCTCTTGCATAAACAAAGAAACCCACCTAGATACTCTTCGAAGGCTCTTTCACTGTCACCCTGAACAAGTAAGGTCATCCCAGTACTCTTTCTCAAATGCTTTCCATGGTACGCGGGGGCTTACTGATGTTCCCATCGGATACGCCGCGGCGTGGAGTAGAAGAGGACAATCCTGAAAGTCACCAAAAAACGTATTTAACTGAGCATTATGCATAAGGGGGGATGTTCCCTAATAGTCTACGTTCAGCCCTTAAATATCTGGGTGCACTGAAATATGAATGGATCTAAAATTAAACTGCGTCTGTTGACCGGCATAGGTCGCGATGCTTAAAGCCAGGCATGCTCGGGGCCGTTGGAAAGTGACCGTTCCTCCTAGAGTGCATGACATTGGTGTGTCCGAGTGGCACGGTGCCCAACGGAATGCTATGAACAGATGTTACTCGCGCAGGCTTGCCTAACCTGGTTATTTGCATAAGTGGTCTAGTTTCGGTGCGTGAATGCAAGCATTATTTATGAAGCGCTTCGGATGGCCCACACGGGTGGCCTTGTTTCATGGGACTTGCTAAGAAACACCTGCGGTAATGTGCCCTGAACCCAACACCAAGTTTGAAGTGTTCCAGTTTATTCAATACATTTACGACGGCCTTTTTGTCGGAGGGAACAGCGAAAAGGCCTTCGTTATGCGGACGCAATGTAACGAGTTAGGCTATATCCACCTAGCGTCAGGTCGACCCTCGCTGGCCGTAGCCAGCTGACCTGGCCATGTCAGCTGATATAACCGTCTGTAAACTGTGGGCCTCACATGCTGAGCCCTTCTGAATTACGATCCTGACTTTTTCCTCCTAGAGCACCCAAGTACCGTTCGTCAGGAGCTAGGTAGACAAACCAGGTAGCTCACACTGACTTTAAGGTGATGTTACCGACTGATATCGTTTGCCAGAATTGCGTGCTTAAGCGTGCATCAACCACACTCTTAAGTTATGCTTTAATCGAAGATTGTGCTTTGGAAAGGCAGGTGTGTAACACCAACATTTTACAGGATATCGGGCGGCACTTAGCCCATGTCCGTGTGGAGCTTATGCGTGACGTGCAGGAAACGCGACAAAGCGAGCAAGCGCATTCCCCTATTGAAAAAGTGCATATAAGTCGTGCAATGCGAAGCGTAGTTTTCTTTCTGGGCACCATGGCGTTTTGTTCCTGCATAATGATCCTCCTGTGTCTGACTGGGCATACATAACATGTCTCTCCTTCAGGCACCATGTATGTCTGATTAGGCATGCATGGCATGTCTCTTCTTCAGGCACCTACGCTGTAAAGCCTCATAACGGCAGATTTTCTCTGACACGCTGGTCACGTTTCCAAGCAACTGCTCGGGAACGAGTGCCGACATTCACATCTGTTGGACATGGCAGACACAAGTCAAGGCCTAGGAATAATGCCCACTGCCTGATCGAGGAGTCGTCGCTGACATGTTAGCTAGTGTCAGACGCCAACTGGTTACACGAGGGATATTCGGAGATTGCAATGCCCGAAACCACTTCGGATGTTCCTAAGGGTTCGAACTTAGTCATACATGTGCCTCGTCCCTAAGATCTCTTCCCCGACGCCAGATCCTGCTTCCTGGCCCCGGAACCAGGAAGAACCTCGGAACTACTTTTAATAAAGCTGGAGATCCAGCAAAACCAAGATCTAGCTCATAATTGTGCTGAGGAGTTAGCAAGAGCCAGGACCCAGCTTGGCAGAAGAGGAGTCCGGTAAGAGCTAAGATTCAGCTTGGAATGGGTACAGGGATCCAGCGGCAGCCGGGACCCAGCCTGGCAGAAGAGGAGTCCGGTAAGAGCTGGACTCAGGTTGGAATAGGTGCAGGGATCCAGCAGCAGCCGGGGCCCAGCGCGTAATTATACAGAAGGGGCCGGCACGAGCCCTGGTCCAGCCGAAAACAATGGCCAGAGACCCAGCGAGAACGCGGATGCACCCCTAATTAGGCCGTCGACTTAGCAACAAACGAAGTCCAGTATGCAGTCAAGGACTTTAGATGTAGTTCGGAACCAGGAGAACCTGGTTCTAAACCTGGTACCAGTGAGAACTGATATGCTGCCTGACACTTTGGATACGAACTAAGTATGTTGCATTTACATTTATGAAGTGAATGCTATAGAGGGTTTGCTGATACTTTCTGTTATATGATATTTTATATGAAAGCATATCAGACAACATGCCTTCAATGGCAAATTGGCAAAAAAAGTTGACGAATGGTACGCATGCGGGGCTTACAAATGGCAATGTGGAACAGGAACCCGGATCTGGTATTTGATGAGAGAACCATTGAGAGCCAGAGGTCATGGTCCAGTGTTTGTGAGCAGCAAGTCTCAACCAGGAGTCAAACTCTTTTTCTTTTGTGAAGAAGCTAACACGAACCAGGAGTGAGGGCCGGATTTGTGTGGAAGAACCAATATGAACACGGAATCAGCGTTGGTGCTTGTGATGTGGAAAATGAAGGAACCAGCAATCAGGTCTGGCGTTTGTAAAGGAACCAATAGGAGCCGGGAATATATATATATATATATATATATATATATATATATGTGTATATATGTATATATATATACATATATATATATATATATATATATATATATATATAGTATGTATGTATGTATAAATACGCATTGTTTGCAGAAGAAACCGTGAGCCGTGAGGTTCAGAAATAATGGTCCCGTGTTTGCAAAGCGACTGATAGGATCCAGGAACTCAGAAGCTGGTGTTCCTGAAAGCATCAACCGGAACTAGGATTAAGGGTTTGGTTCCATGGAGGGAAAGTGAGCGTCATGTGCCAACACTGAAAACCAGGCACATATCCACTGCAAAATCATGCATTTGACATCCATGAAATGTTGCCTAAACATCGTTGATTTGAAAACTTATCAACATAGGCCATACTCAAAATTCGTATCGGATTGCGGCCGGGGCATGACTGTCCCATGTGCGTACAAATCAGCTTTGAAACAAAGGTGGAAGTGATTCGGTCGGTGCTGTCTCATCAATGACATTTTGACCCTACATTCCCTGTCGCGGTTATTACACGCCACCTCACATGGCGACCGATACAGATGGCTTGCGACGTCAGCGACCGCTGCAGTCACATGTGGCGTTCTGAAGACAGACTGTCTCCTTCTTAAACGTCTTAACGTCACGTCTAAATATTCGCATTATCCAAGCCTCCCAGTTGTCGGAACAAGCTGGCTTACCTATGCACGACGTGGAGTGGCGGCCATGAGAGCGGTCTCCTCAGCCGACGCTGCACGGTCCGGAGCGACTCAGACGGGCGGGGACGAGGCTCCCCGCGGAGGGGACACTGCGAACTCCGGCCGCGATCACAGCCGGCGGCGTAGCGGGCCGGCGTCGCCGCCTCCGCCTGCGCCGGTCACCTGTCACGGCCGGCACCTGACCGGTCGCCGCTGACCGCCCCCTCGCCACCGCCGGTCCTGGCGCACCGTCGCCGCCTGCGTCGCCGCCGCCGGCGTCTGGAGCCAGCACCTGGCCGAATGCTGCTGATCGGACCGGCCGCCACCGGTCCTGGCGCACCGTCTCTGCCGCCGCCGCCGCCGCCGCCGCCGCCGCTCGCCGACGTCTGGAGCCGGCAGCGCGCCGCGGCGTATTGACCGCACGCCGGCCGGCCCCCGCAGCAGCGCGGGCCGGCCGCGTGCCGCCGGTCCTCCACCGACCGACGCTCCTGTCACGTCGGCCACGCGCCGCCGCTCGGGCCGTGGCGACTGTGTGCTCTGGGTTTGAGGCTGGTAGTGCCTGATCAGATGGGCGGGTATGTCTGATGGCGAGGTTGCGGGACATACCAACGGCCGTTTATCACGAAATGGTTCGCAATTCCAAGTGCCCCTCGACTGGCGGCCCATTTCATCATCTTATGCATTTTGCAGTCTTGTACCGCGAGGCTATAAATATGCTGCAAACTTGATACGAGCAAAACGGGGTTTTCGCCCTCGGTTTTCGGGCTGATAAACTTTTGAGCTAAAAATGAAGGGCATCCATTACACACGTATCCACCAGCTTTAGGACGTTATCGAGCAATCATCAATTTATCTACATTAGGAGAGAACGCAAAGCTTCAAGCCGGTGTTCGCTATTACTCGTGACCATGGTCTAATCAAATCACCGGCAGTGATAGCTACCGCGCACAGCCAACAGTCTTCGCGGCGCGCGGTCGGCTGCTTCATCCCAATAACCAGCAGACCAGCTGAGAGCTGTTCGTCTAGGTTGACTCACAACGCTGTGTTCCGTTGCTGGGGCTTGAGCGCTCGGCTCAGCTGGCTCCCACGGGAGATGAAAGAGCTGTACAGGCACCCGCACATTTTGGTCAGATCTGCTCAAGCATAGTTTTGGGAATGGAAAGGTACTGTGGGTGCCTTGGCATCCCTCTTCGCAGCAAGGCCAAATATTTACTCCGTGACAACAAATGGTCGTTTTCAAAATTGGTTTTAGCATCCCCCCCCCCTCTTTCGGAGGCGTTTCTTCGCCGATGAGCTTTAAAATACTACTGCGATAGTGTCTTGGGCTCAGTGACACAATCAGTACCTGAGACTTTATGTAATCCCCGTCTCTCACCCTGGCAGGAAGAGCGGGCACTGCGAAACTGCTGCGGCTCATTATGTGCCAGTTTAGAGAGGTTGTGCATGGTCATCATGACAGTACGAGGCTGCTGATCACCCGAAATCCTTACTTCAAAGAGCCAGAGACGAAGCCATCAACATTCAGCGCCCACCGACATGGATAAAAGCCTATTGGTGATGTGCCTGAAGCTGGCGGTTTGTTCGGCGATTTATTCAGCGACGAGTTCCGATTGTTCCGAAAAGAGGTTTCAAAGTCAATCACGGCACGAGAACAGCGAAAATGGCATTTATTTCGTAATATCATGAGACCTTCAAGGTTGCAAGCTGGGTCAAAATATGGGAGCTCGATATCATCAAAAGGTTTCCGGCCGAATCAAAACCTGCAAACATCAAAAGATTCAAAAGCGCAAAAACTAGCGTCCGTCAAAAACTTCTGACCTCTGAACTTCATCCTTTAAGATCAAATTCAGGCTCAAGAGACGAGGAACTCCAATCACTAGCAAATAACCGGCAACTCCTAACTTGTAAGCATCAAAATATTTACAAGCACAAGAACTTGTGATATAGAATTCCCCGTCCTTTGAGCTCACTTTGATCTTGAAAGGTAACCTTAAAAGGTCAGGACTTTTTGACGGATGCTTGTTCTTTCTTTGTTGCATATTCTGGTGCTGGCAAGTTTGAAATAGGACGGCAATTTTTTGGTGAGCTCCCCGTCTATTGAGCCTGAATCTCACGTTGAAGGATGACCTTCAGAGGCCAAGACTTTTTGACGGGCGCTAGTTATTGCGCTTGTGAATATTTTGATGCTTGCAAGATCCCGTCCTTTTACCCAGCTTTTGATCCCGTAGGGTCGCTCGACATTGCAGAATGAATGTCATTTTCGATGTTCTCGTGCCATGACTGACCTTGATACTTTTTCAGAGAAAATGGAAGGCTTCCCTGAGTAAACCGCTGAATAAATCGCTAACCTCACGAACACGAAGTTGTGGGCAGGTTGGGCACGCTGGAATGTTCCGCCTCTAGAGTGATGGACAGAATAGTCCGCCTGCCGCTGCTCCTTCCAGCCGCTGGCTTAACGGAGCACAGTCGCAAACACGCAACGTGTGCAGTCTTTTAAGTGCAGTTTGCCTATTTATAATAGCACTTGCTTTGCCTTATTCCTCGTTGGTAGTTAAAATGTTGAAAAATTATGTTACAATAAGATTATGGGAATTCCACTCATCGATCTGCTCGGCGACGTGATGTACTAGAGACTTTTCTATCAAGGGCCGAGGCTGAAACGTCGGCACACATAGCAGTGAGTGTTTTAACAACACATAAGACACTGTGTTCTTTTGTTCTGTTTTGTTCTTAGCCATGCTCGCGTTTAACCTAATGCAGAACGTCGTACCCCACCTGGCCCGTGAAGTTGGATAATTATTTAGCGATCTATTCAGCGATTTGTTAGGTATGAGAGCACCAAATCGCTGGTGTTTAAATACCGCAAAAGTCGTATGTGTTTAAACATCACGTGAACTGCAATGGCGAAGTCCAGTTCAAATGAAGGACAAACCGGCATTAGTCTGAAGTTACCGGGTGTCAGGTCCTTAAGCATGGTGATCTTTGCCAATGAATAAATTACCTCCCATCGAAAAATTAGGCCCTTATGGTCAGCTTCCGAGAAAAATTCCACGGTTATCGGATGTACAGGTTATGTGAACCTGGCAACCAGTGACGTATTCGCGGGGACTAGATTTCCTACGGGATGCGGTGTTTTATCGGCTAGATTGCTAGGCCGGTGCAGCTTTGCTCAATAATACGGCCTCCTATGAAAAATTAATGTAATACAATCCAAAAACTTAGTGTGTGCTATAAGATCTTGACAGGTTTTGTTTTTTAAATGTATAACAAAGGTAAACCGGAGCAATTTAGTACATACTTGTATACCAAATATTTCAGTAGTATTAAAATTGATTTCATGCATCCCAGCATGGGTTCTCCGTAAGCGGTCTTGTATCACCCAGCTGTTAAAGGTCATGGAGGATTGGAGGACCGTGGTAGAGGCTGGAGAGCCGGTGGACGTTGCGTACCTGAACTTCAGCAAAGCCTTTGATTTCGTGCCTCATAATCGTATGCTCTCCAAGCTTCATGCTTACGGTGTGAGAGGTAATTTGCTACGCTGAATCAGGTATTTTCTTACCCACCAGATGCAGAGAGTGCGGGTCCAGGGCTCGAAGTTGGACTGGACCGACGTCGTCAGCGGCATGCCGTAGGGATCAGTGCCTGAACCAACGCTGTGCACAATTTTCGTGAAAGGTCTGCCAGAACAAGTGCAAAGCGTGGTCAAGATGCTTGCAGATCACACAAAGGTCTACTGCCGTGTCCCGAGGCCCCTGACTAACTCACCTCTGCCGGCTGACCTCGACGCCCTGGCCAAGTGGTCAAAGGAATGGCTGCTTCCCTTTAGTGCAGCGAAGTGCAAAATAATGCACATCGGGAACTGCAACCCGAGGCTGAGCTACTTCTTGAACGGCGCTGAAATCGCGGCCGAGTCCACCGAGAAGGACCTTGGGATCTTCGTGGATTACCGGCTCAAGTTCCACGTGCAGACGGCGGAAGCGATCTCCAAGGCCAACAAGATGCTGGCAGTCGTGAGGCGGTCTCTTGCCAATATCGATACTCCCACGTTGCCATTGCTCTTAAGATCTTAGTACGTCCGTACTTAGAGTATGCCAACGTCATCTGGGGCTCTTTCTGCAAACTGGACCAGAAGCGGCTGGAACGGGTTCAGCGACGAGCTACCCGGCTTGTCAATGAAGTGAGGCGCCAGCCATACCCTGAGAGGCTCAGACTCCTTCAGCTGCCCTCGCTGTACTATCGTCGTCGTTGGGGAGACATGGTAACAGTGTACCAGCTGTTCACGGAAGTATGTCGCTGTCGGAAGAGGAGTTCCTGACAAGGCACAACTCGGAGGTGGCGAGAGGACACCAATGGAAGGTCAGAAAATTTCGAGCTAGGACTCTCGTCCGTCGTAACTCCTTCAGCACGCGGGTTGTCAACGATTGGAACGCTCTTCCACACCTGGTCGTGTCGTCGACCTCAGTTGAACAGTTCAAGTTTAGGCTTGATATGCACTGGGCGGATATCATGTACGACGTCTCACACTCAATCTTCCCATAATTGGAGACTGTTTGGTTACCGGACCGGGAGCCTGACGAGCCCGGACATACAGGCCTAGTGGCCTTTTATAATTCCCGATCACCATAAGGTAAGGTAAGACAAGACGCGCAGTGCGGTATGGTTTCGCGCCGCCGACATAAAGCGGCTGCTCAGAACCTTAAGAGCTAGGGTTCTTCGAAGCACTTAATTACATGTGGGTTCTGAACGCGATTTGCAGTTTTCAACTACTTCATCCCGCAAAGGACCCTGCGGCAAGCCCGATGTGAACAACGCAAAAGGAAACACTTCCAAGTCAGGGCGACGGTTGAGCTCTGAATTGGCGTTCAGACCTGTGAATGGCATACCCTGCTCAGTCGCAAAGACGCCAGAAATATTGACAAGCGCCAATTTAAAGTACGGGTGATAATGCCAAATAAGTAGGGTCAAGTGGTAATGGATGAACAAGACGTTGGCGGAAACTTGGCGCTAGCTAATACTTTTAGCCTCAAAACTACACGTGTCGAGCTGGCAGCACATCTATCAAACCATCGATCGGTATTTCGGGTCGCCACAATTTAGCTGACAATTGATAGGCTGATAAAAACTTGGCCAATGTATCTCAAACTACGAAAA